ATGATTGGAAGTGCTCAAAACTTAAAAATGAAAAACAGCTTCCCATTAAAACAAAATCGCTGTTCAAAGTCGACATAAAACTGTAGGGACCCTTTTTGTGCCACAACATTAGGAGCGTTCCTTATCTCCCAGAAATAGTCAGAAAAAGTCCGAAGTAGTCAGATTTAGTCCAAAAAGCGTTCCTTAACTCGGAAATGACAGCTAAAATGAGAGAGCAACACCCAGTGAGAGTGACTCTCATCAGTCCGAAGTAGTCAGATTTAGTCAGAAGAATTTTGTCTGGCAAAATCCTGAAAAGTGTCAAACTCAACTAAATTTAAATTAACGGAAATTAAAGAATACGCAAAAAGTGAGAATAATCTAAAAAGTAGAAAAAGTGAATTGAAATTGGAAGGAGGCAAAAAATAATTGATATAGTAAGTGTTTATTGTGCTTGTGCTTGTGTGAATGTGTTTTGTACATACGTTTCCATTCTTATTTGACAGTAGCTTTGTTGTTGCCATTCTTTGGACCAAAAATTTGGTTTTTTGCGTTCCTTTTCTTTTCCTGTTATTCTCTTTTAGTGAGCGCATTTTGCTTACGCTCTGGCATTTTGACACTTTTCAGATTTTAGTCCAAAAAGATAAGGAATGAACCTATTAATAGCCCGAAGACAATAAAAACGACGAGCTATCATGATGCAGTAATACACGGTGTTATCAGTTGGCAACTTCTCGCTCTAATTCCGCCATATTGACTACCTTATGTGAAACAGTGTTACTTCTTTCACTATTCTTTGCCCATTAATATAGTTGAATGCTTTTTATTTTTTCTCAGTATACACACTTTGTTTTCTAAAAAAGTATTTTATCTTATTTTATTTCATTTCATAACGAATATACTATAAAAAAGCAAATTTTGTTAAGGAGAAAATGTGAAATTTTATATTTTTCCCCCATATGGGGATTCATTTCTTCCCGTTTTTCTTCTCATTCTACTGAGCTAAGGTAGTGTCAAATCGAGCTGTAACAACTGATACCACCTTGTATTATTGCATCATGACGAGCTATGGACCATAGCTGTCAAATTATTTTAACACGTACTCTTATGTAGATCATTATTTTGGCGCCGACCGGGCTACGCGACGACTGTGGTTGTGGCCAGATTAGATTGTATAACAACACGTAGAGATTGAGGTGTTGTCTTAAAACACCGAAGTCGCGGGTTCAAATTCCACCACATGCAATCCTAACTATATTACACATTTCTGCTCTTAAAAGCCCAATTTAAATCGGGAAGAATTGTTAATAACATTATCATTGTATAAAATTAAGGTTAAGTGAAAAAACCGCGTGTCTTTTCTTTAAAAATTCAGAATTCAAGAGAGTTTATTACAAAAAATACAATTCTCAGATGTCATTACAGGGTTGCAAAAGGTTCCAAAAAATATCGTTTTAAAACTATCGAGTAGAAAATATCGGAGGAAAATTTTAGTAGACGGACGGCAAATTCTAGAAAAAGGGGGGATGAGGGGGGGGTAGAATAGGACCCCCTGATTTCAAAACTACCCCCCCTTTTTTCTCGCAACCCTATAGTTCTTATATAATTTATTGTTAAAGTTTTCATATAAACGATGAATAAGATAGCAAAATAACATACAACTTAGTGCTACCAGACTGGAATTTTGAATAATAAAAGCGGATTTTTAATTCGGAATTTTTACTTAGTAGAATTATTATTTCTGTGTTGCCGAAGAAGGGGGGGCTTAACACATTTTGCAGAGAACACCTTTCTGCGTAGGCGGCCTTCGGCCGCCGTTAGGGATTATAACTCTCAGGCAGTAGAATTCTCCTTTCTGTTTTGCGAAGAAAAGGAGCTG